CATACGCAAGCTCAGGCTGATATGGACGAAAATTTCATACATACACAAGCGATAGGTGTCCAGAAAAAAAATTTTTTTCCCCCAAATTTGTTACTGACGTCATTTCGGGGAGGAGATTCGGGTTTTTATTTTATTGGAGTAGCAATCAAACGAACCAAACAGATACGTATGGGAGAATCAATGTCTAACAATCAAGAATAATCAAGAAAAAATGTTTGCTTGAAAAAGTATGTCTCGGATATCAACCTTCTCACTAGGTTGAATTCGAAATATCCATAGTAGCAGAAATACAGAAGGGTTGAGAAATAAGAAAAATTATCACAGTGAGTGGGAAACGGCTTGCATTGTATCAAACAGACACCTTTCATATTTCCTCCAAATATAAGATAATGCGAAATTTAAAACGTAATTTATCAACGCCATTGATTGTTTATTTTGGTTATTACTAATTACATGAATAATGTGTAAATTATTATAATCCGCAAATCACCAGACACCGCAGCAACATTATCTATTCATAGCGTCCTGAAAGAAATTTGGTAGATTTCCCTGACTTGGTTGATGAATGGCAGAACACTAGCTATGTTAGTTCATTGATAAATATAATGGCATGCCTATCTTTGCTAAATTTATATACATAATGCAATGGAATTATTTGTCTGTTATAATAATAATGTTTATTATAAAATCTTGGCTAATTATTAGTATGCGGCTGAATTGGGTTTTTTTTACAAAATTGTCTCATAATTTGTTAAACATTGAAAACTTTTACCACTTTTCAATTTGTTAACATAAGTGATTTGATATCAAAAATGTTTGAAGCATTGTATTGTTCATAATCCACCAAATAGTTATAATAAAATAAATGAAGATATCTTCTGAATTAAACCAGTGATCATAATTACATCTTTGTTGAAGTATGGTCACAGATTTCTTGTCATACTTAAATATGTACTGTATTATTATTATGCAACACATCATTGTTTAATATTAATACATCCTACATATTAATTTACTCATTAAGTCATTCATTAGATATTAATATAGAATACTTGAACCATTTTAATTTTCACTTGTAACAACGGAACAAAAAAAAAGACAACCTCACTTTTCTCCCAATTTTTTTTTCTATTTTCTGAAGCCCTGAGGATTAGATAGAAAAAAAATACACAGAGATATGAATAACAATAATCTTACTAATAGTACTCACAAATCTGTTTTAGTCACTTTTCTTCTTTCTGTTCTGTATCCTCAACAATTTATTGGCCTCATTGGTAAATTGGATATCTGAAACAGTTTGTATTTTTTTCTCTGATTTACCTTTATTAAAGTCAGAATAATCTTGCCAGGACTTTCAAGATTTGATGCATAGTAATATTATAAACCAAACCAAATCAATACTGCAAAAACCCTACAATTTCTTGACTGTTTTTTTGACACGTCTTTGATCTAGAAAGGAAGCGCTACTGTTAGAGACCCCATTTACATTCCCTGCTATCCCATTGTTAGTCTTAATGGTCTACACTTTTTTTCTTCTCATAATTTTTCTTCCATCTTGCCTTCTGACGATCAGTCCGGGTACCCCATGATAGAAAATTGAAAAATTGACAAGATTTTTGACCAGCAGAGAAAAATTGTTTGGAACTAGTTTAGTTTAATCCTTATCGGAAAAATGTTAACGCGCGTTGCGATTCCTCATCCAAGTTACCCCATCTGTCGAGTCGACAAGAAGTCTTGTACACCGGCTGCTGGGAGAACAAAAAGTTCGCCGATGCTCTTTACTTGCCTTCCTATAAACAAGCAAGTAGCTCACATGCTTTTTCTCGCCTTCTTTCTCGCTTACTTGTTTTAAAAGTCATCATCCACATTTGTTTTGAATTTGCCTCCTTCGCAGAACGTTACTTGAAGCATAGGACGTGTTATGGAAGCACACCGTCACTCGCAATACAATAATGCGCGGAGGTGGTTATGCACCACATCTTCGGCTAATACTAAATATAGTTTGAGATAGTTTGTGTACTTTATTAGGCGCAACGAAGGTGGACCTTTAAAGATGCAGTATAGATAATTTAGTCGAAAGATGTTAAGTCTATTTGTCACACATAAGCCAGTCGCATTTGAGAGATTTCGCGACCATTATACACAGGCTTTCATAGCAATGAAGGAGAATAATGAACGTAATGCGTTTTCGGTTTCAGTCTTGAAGCAAGAGCAATTCTAATGATTTTTTATCAACTCTTGAGACTCAACCCATCTCCCAAAATATGCCTTTCTGGGTTTTATTTGGTAAACCTTACTAATGTCCAACAATCAAAGCAGATAACAATTTGACTTTGAACACTAAGTTTATGATTTTTTTTTTGACCCACCATTAACATAGTACGTTTTGGTATTTTCTTGTCCAAATAATTAAAAAAGGCAGAATAAGAACACGTAATAAACGCTATATCTCTCTTAGAAAGTAACTCTCGCAGAGCGGAAAGCCCATTGCATTGCTGAGATGTTTTATGAGGACTAATAATAACAATTAATTAATTAATTAATTACATGTCTTTTCTATTTCAACAATTCAAACTGATTATAGTCATAGCAACGGTATTGATAGTTAACAACGAGTTCCAATCGTAGCGAAAACGGAGATTGATGGACTTGGTACAGTTTTATCATAAATCTTATCTAAATAATCTTAACAGTTTCCTGGGCATATTTATTAATAATTTATTAATTATGCGCTGTTGATTAAATTTATAGAAATAGCATGTATTAATTTATGGTCGGTTAAATTAGATCCGAGTCACTATAACTATGACGGCTAAATGAGGCTTTGCATAATGACAGTGCAATTGTGAACACAAAATTGAACTAACACAACATATTAATATATCAATATTATACCAAACTTGATTAACAAGCCGCTTTACAGCATATTTTGACAGACTGAATCATATTAATTACATTCTGGCAACAAAATAACTTTTTATTTTCTCTATTCAGAACTGCTTTAACTCTTCAATAATTTTTTTTTTGCTTAACTATACCTTACAATTACATTCATTTCTTTTTTTTTCGTCGCAGCTTATAATTACATATTTGGGCTGCAGGTAAAGGCTGGTATGTAAATGTTATATAAATTAATGATCATGTCGTAAACAGAAAGAAAAAATTTCTTTATGGAGAAATGTCTCTCCATGCAAACCACAATTATTTTTGAGACATGCTTTATGTTATATTACATAAGATCTCCCTTTGACAGCTTTAGGACACTGCCTTGGCGCTATCATGGATCTCAACTAACGAGATAATCGGCCTTTTTCTTTTGAAGCAAAGCGCAATATAAACGAAACTTTATTGATTACGTGAATAAGGCCCACCTTCGTGGGACGTGTGTTTACGCTTTAAAAATAATCCACGAAACGTCACGTAACATGTGTGCACGTTATCTCAGTATTACGTTATCACAAACTTTCTTCATATTCATGTGATTGCATTATTTGATTGTTGATGTGGTGTTGGAAGGGGTGAGGAACAAGCCATTTCATAACATTACGCCCCTTATGCAGTATCAAAACGCCTTTCGACACGTTGTTCTGTTTTGTAACGTTACAGGATAATGATTGCATTGTTTAGGATAAAGTAGTGCGCGAATCAATTAATTACCTTTCGATAACACGATATAAAAAGAACTTGATACTAATGGCAGGAATGATGGAGGGAAATTTAACGATTGCTTGTGATAATGAAAATTCAAATAACGCATCAATTGATTTATCTGTATTTGGTAATTTACAATTACTATGGTATTATTTATTTTATTGTCATGCTGTGCCCTAAAGCAAGGCTTTTGTTTTTTTTTATTCAGCCACACAAGGGTTCAAAAAAAGACTCAAAATGTGTTCTTCATTTCCACCTGCAGCAACAAGAGCTGTTGCGATTATCACTAACCAATAATAATAGTGCTGCACTAACCCCCTTAAAATCTTCCTGTTACGGGACCAATCTTAATATCAATATTAATATTAAACGTTTGTTGGTTAGATCGATCACAATACATCATCTTCAAATCATTATCATGTGTCTGATTAACAAAGGAGCGAGAATTTTCCGGAACACAAAATATGAAGGGGTGGTGAATGTATTGGATTAAGAACCGTTTCTCTCTTGCACTTTTCACAACCCAAACGCTACGGTCATAACAACATCGCACCACGGCTACGCTCTGAATTCAATAATAAACTCGGCACACAATCATTCGGCATTGCAAGAACGCCCAGCATGGTAAAAACAAAAGGGCCTCTATCCGGGACAAAGACAAACAAACAACTTAGATGGGAAATGATAAGAAAAAATCAGAGTTTTTTAAAGTGCACACAATATAGATTTTGTTATTGACCCATCGGATCCCATGCAGGTTTATTGGAAACTAAAAAAATGCCTCGTCGTACGTATGCTAAATATGTATCGATCACCAACTTTGGGGAGGGGGTGTGGAAATGAACTATGAAATTTAATGGAATACAGTCAGTCGATCAATCAAAGAACGAGTTACAGGCTGATGTGCTATTTCTGTGGTTGTTATTATTAAGCGCATTGTTCCAAAACGTGCATTATTACTAATTGCTCTTTTCCAATCCTTGGCATCTGGAGATATGGCAAACGGGGTTTGAAAGGAAATTGGGATGGAGATGAGATGGGACCGGTAGAATCTATCATGGGCATAAGCGATATGATTGTTAATCTGAGATGATAACGATAAAATTGATGGAATTGTGTGTTGACGGTCCGGTATTATTCCAACCAATCGAATATGGAAACTTCCCGCAACAATGAATGCCAAACTTTTTCTTTTCCTGCTACTTGTCCGTATAATTTCTTGAACTGGTAGACCCAACATGACTGGTTTCAAAGTTGCTTGCTTTCAGTTTATTTAGTAGTTTGGTGGTGTTACAAAATAATCTTCATTACATTATAATACTTTTAAAAAAACTAAAGTGTCCATTTATTTACACGGTCACTTGTCTTGCAAGCGGGCCAGTTCTACGCTCTCTTGCAGCAAGGAACGCGGCTCGCATTTCAAAATAGTCTTTGTGTAATCCGCACTCTGTCTTCGCCTGTCCTTCCCATCGTCCTGCGCGTTCGTTGGCTGTATTTGAGACAGGCTTTGTGCTGTGCCAATCGCCAATTGAGCGATAACCTTGATCGATCAATGGATTGTACGGCACCTAACAAAAAAAGCACGCAATTATTAGTAAAACCGTAATCATCTCGTTATTAACAATAGCCCTATTCCAAATATCCACTCCCACGTGCTAAACAGCAAGTTAAATGGAAGTTACACTCGTTTACTCACCTCATTAGCTCGTATGTAGGTCCAGACTCGCTGGTAGTCCCAGTGGGCCAAGGGATTCAGTTTTACTAATCCTGTTCCCCTTTCTATCTCTAATATACTAAGAGCTTCTCTTTCTCCCTTCTGACTTCGCCTGCGGCCAGTGATGACTGCTTTCACATTATTGTCCTTGTACGCTCTCTGGGCTGGTTCTACTTTAACCAGATAATCATAAATGTCCCCGTCTGTCTCCCATAATTTCTGCCCATGCATACGCTCAAGGTCTTCAGCCGTTGAACAGCCGACGGGCTTGTACACTTTCAGAGGTGCGTTGTAATGAGCGGCTGCACGATGGGCCAATTCAACGGTTTCGGGGAAATGATAAAGAGTGTCGAGAAATATCAGAGGAACGAGATGTTGTGGTTGAGTTCCATTCTTCTCTGCACGATCGAGGCTTACTTTTGATATCATATCAAGTATTACTAAACCTACAAATAGGACGAAATTATAGGTTATAAGAAAATTCTAGAATAATAGTACATATAAGCCCATTGTAATTACGCAAACACATTTGGAAATGAAGTAATTCTGCGGATGATTATAACTATAGTTGATGATTATTGACAATTGCCTCATTTGTCATAAATGATTACAACATCTGATAGCGGTATATAACCCATTTCCAAATCCGTCAGGATCTATAAAATTCCCATGTTACGCTTTGCGACAAGTGTAGAAATATTTACCAGAGAGACCAAACGCAGTTGTTTGATATAAATTAGGGATGGTGATAGTGGCCCATTCTATTATTTGCAACGGTGTGAGATTTGACAACCTTTCATTTAAAAACTCGAGGTGTTCCTTTGTGAATAGAGGGGTCTCTGCCACGGGTTCTTCGACGAAGTTTTGAGAGTTGGGTGCCATTGTATGATCAGATTCGATGGGAATAAGCTAAGAGATAAAGATTTTTCGTGGCTTTGTTGTCGTTAAGTTCAGTCGTTTCTTTGCTGGGTTCTGAATCGGTTCCTTTACTTTTATATATTTTTTTCTTGTCATACATGACAAATCTTTGTTCCCAAAATCTAACCCAGTTTTTTTTTTGTTACGTGTTTGATCTTCAAAGCAAAAAATTTATTGATCGACGACCAATCATATCACCATCCGATGGCGTCATTCAACTTGAGATTTGAGCAATTCCTGTTTAATAAGCCAACAAGCATTACAATCATTCCAACATGGTATGGTTTTACGACAATAGACTGATCATCACTATAGTGATTGACGTCTTTCTAATTTCAATGAAACAGAAATAGTTGGCAAACTGAACACCAAATCAAGAAATTTCCGAAACAAGTTAATAGGATCTAATACTGGGCGCTTGAGGATATCTATGACAAATGCTATCATTACGTATGCCTCAGGGAGTTTCCAGAAAAAAATTATTATTCCGAAATCGAGATAAGGAGTAATAAGGATTTCCCCGAAATTTTGCCGTGTAATAAAAACATTATTTGTTATCAGCTAATCTTTTGATGAATAATCGTTATATTAAGTTACACTAGAAGATAGATGCACGTGCACGAACTCTATCCTCCATGTGATTCCCATTGCAAGGGGGACTCGGCCACAAATCTCCAATGGGACGACCCACGACACATTCGCAACGGCCTTTTTCTATTTATGAATGCAATTTCAAGAACACTCAAAAGAACGTTTCTATTTATGGCCGTAATACCGACTTTTTACGTTAACGGGTGGGCATGTTTAAATTTATAATCTGCGGGTTAACGTTGAATGGTTGTGATTAGCACAGCATAGAGCATAGTCCGCATGTGATGGACAGGATGTATGATCGTGATAGACATACCGTTCAAGTCTTGATGAAGATAACAGTCCCAGTGAGTGCACATCGAGTTCATATTCAGCTGAAAAACCGGTCAGTTTTGGTAATTTTTGACCCGAGAATAAAAAGTTTATTTGTAAAACCGCACCAATCATTTCCAAAGTCAGTTTAAAGTAGCGTCAGTGCCAAGCCCCCTTCATCATGGATTTGCTTACGCGTATCCCTTATGTAACGATATTTATCCGTTATCAGTATGACTAATGCGATCGTGACCATTTCGTAAATGAAGGAGGTGGAACCTTGGCATATGACCATGTTTATTCACGGACCGGGAGGTAATGACGGCAACAAACGATTAGTAAGACTCAAGATTAGATAGAAACTATGAGATGCGATTATTTGACGCGCTTTACAATTAAAAGTTCTACAATTAAAGCAAACCTATTAATTGACTTGTCTTTTTTTTCTCCCCTGAACATGTAAATAATATTTAGACAAACACACTCTCATATCCTCTCTCGGCGACGCGTAATTTTAAAGAGCAATTCGATATTTCCCTGGTGCAGTATTAAATAAGCATGTAACATTGTGGTAGCAAAAGATGAATAACTTGGGGGAAAAAAGCTGAACGTTAATCACAATCAAGACGATACCGTAATTTTGCCAAGTCGATTTGCGTGGCGTTTTAAAGTTATCTTATTATTATTATTAGGAGCGCATGCTTTGGTTGTAATGTTTGTGTTAGCATCACTCTTTTCTTAATTGGTGTCAGAGACCCTAACACGATAATGATGCTCGTACAATGTAATGGGAAACTCACAAATCACTCGTTACAACACTGAAAACACATTGGACGCAATGGACGTTTACGAATAAGGTTTCTTCTTGTCAATTGAAGAAGACGAATTACAGGCAGCATTTGCAAATTGAGCGGACAAGTCAACTTGTAGAAAATGTTTGTGTCAAAGACGCATCTCGTAAAATTTCCATTCCAATGCAGTCGAGTGGGCTGTGGTAACCGAGGCTGTAATAGACGATAGAGCTGATAATGCTATTAACGATGAACAACAGTTATCCAATAAAGGCTGATAAGATTGGGACAGAACGACCGCACAAACAAACAAATTGTTAATCCAAGTCGATTTATATAGTTATTTGCAACAGATAAATAAATAGTTTATTTTCCTTTAAAAGAGGAATGTTTTGTTCAAACAAAACTACAGTAGTATGATTATTTATCTAGAGTAAGTATTCCTTTTTTGTCCAATTATTTCTCCTCTATTTTTTCTCACTTTTGTTATCATTTACTTGCTTACTTTTATACTATTAAATAAAACATTTAACGATTTTACGGCCATGCACTTTTTCTATAGGTCCCAGGACCATGCATGACATGATTACAGTGTAGTATGACGCAATGCAAACGAGGTCCTGATCGTATTTGGTATAGCCACTCATCTTCCGATACTTTTTCACCTATTCGTACTAGTCCTATACATTGCGCGTATTGCTGGGGATATGAAGGCTCGATCAGAAAACGTTTGCGCCCTAATGTTGTTTCGAATATCAAACGACGTCCTCTATTCAAAAATCAATAGATAGATATATAACACATTAAATGACTGTCTATTTCAAGTCTCCAATTTTACGCAATTTATCCACATCAAAATTTTCAAACTCCAAACCTGTTCTTCTTCAGATCGTGCTTCTCTAGTATTTGCGGTACCGTCCGTTTCCGTCCTTGTCTGGTTATCATTGCTGGTCAACAGCTCTTCTTTCAAAGCCTCGCTCGCTCTAAGTAGAACGGATTCGCGGTTCTCTCCAAGTCGTGCGAGCTTGGATCGTAAACCATTCAACAAATACTCCTCGGAAGCGGATAAAGGTGAAACGACATGTGCGAAATCAACTGGGCCGTCGTAAGATCTTGTCATTTGACGCGATACTTCTTGTGCGACTCGCTTTGCTAAAGGAGTATCTGCTATTTGATGTTTGTTCTTGTAATACTGTTTGGAGATTTCTTCTAGTTTATCTAGGTTTTCATGACAATCAGAGGCATCCTAATCACGATTAATTAACTCTATATCTGTACTGTACTGGAACAACACACGGGTAGGTCATGGCAGAGAGACTCACTAGTGAAAAGGTCCTGATATGCTCTGTTATTGAATTAAACTCGTGGAACGCATGCCTACAAAGAGTTTTGTCGTGTTAAATCCGTTCGGTCTCGCATAGACTCGTAAGTTATAAACATACTTTTTGGGATCAACGTCTGTCATTATGTTGCCGAATTCGCCGCACGGATCCGCAACTGCTACAAACACAAATGCTTGAGACGTTCTGAGTTTCTTATACACGAACGCTGCATCTTCCAATTCGTTCTGTTTACAGTACTCGTATAGCCCATACAAGGCCTGCCACATTGCTAAGTGAAGGTAAAAAAAAAAGCATCGAGTATAATGCACAAATCGACGTGTATCTTTTAGAGGTATTAAAATCTTACTTGGTGATAAGCGAATCTTTACGCGGAAAAAGGCTTCTGGTTGTGTGAAATAAAGAAGATACAACGTAAACAGCACGGCGAGTCGAGTTTCCAAGCAATTCGCTGTGTCATAATGGGCTGTTTCATTGTTAACGTCGTAACTAATTACCGGTAGATTAGTGTCTAAACAGTAAAAAACTTACATAAAGTTATCTGATAGAGACATTGCATGAAAAGCTCTCGACCTGATTTTTCTGGGCAGACAAAGTGTATCAAAGAGAATTGCAAATTCGTCCAGACTTGGTTGAAGGTTGCGTAGTCGGTTGAAGACTTCTGATGGACAAACTCTGGTTAAAAAAATAGTCGGGTACTGTATAGAGTACGTTGGTTGAAACTTATTAACGAACCTCCACATAGCCCTCAATTAACAGCCGAATGTCTTGTTCGAGTGCTTTTCTCTTGACGCGTTCATTGCCAATAGTTATGTGCTCGTCGGTCATCATGAATTCCCACAGGCAAAGTGAACCTATGCGCCACAACCAATTGTATGGATTCAAATTTTTTATGCGCCACAATATAAATCTTCTAGTTGTACGATTTCAACCAGGGGTGTAATGCGAGGCAGCCATGCGATGTTCTCTCGATCTAATTTTCATAATTGCAGGAAGTTGTGATAAGAATTGTTCCAATTGCATGTGAGCATTGAGCCAGAAACGAAAACTATCGCTGCTGCTGATTCAACCTTAACGCGTACTTTTCCCCTTCGCAACTAATTATCAAGTCGATATGCGAAAACGCAGAAGGGTTCACAGTCCCACTTCTGCGACATGGCGTCAAGTAGTAGCGATCCCAGACGGAATACCGAAGGCTCGAGACTTCTTGATTAAATTATGGAAACATTCTAAAGTCAATATACAGTGATCCGTTCAATTGAATGAAGCCCGTTTATATACCATACACTTTAATTCGATTTTGTCCTCCCAAAACCACTCATTTTTTTCACCCCCACCTTCAAAGAAAATAATCAGTTAATATACAGTGGCATTTGTCTGGGCTTGTTACAAGATGCTCCAATTACAAAATTAAAAAGACATTAATTGGTACGTATTTCCAGTTGGACTAGCTTTTTGCAGCAAGCTCTCTATACTATTGCTGCTGGAATGTTCGTTAGCGTTAGTGTCCGGGTGCTTAGTATTAACACAGGGGTTTGAATCAATTCGTAAAGGCAGACATAATACTCAGATTCCTCTTGATCAAACGTTGAAAGTTTTCCGAGTTCTATTTACCTCTTTAGAATTCAAGTCTATATCGTCTATAACAAATAATTTCAAATTTTTAGTACCCAACCTTTTTTCCACCACAAAATAGCTACAAATGAGAGTGTAAACATGTATCCACAAATTATTGACTCGGCTACAATAGTAGATGCATATAATGTCCTTATTGTCAGGTTAATCAACCCGGTTAACAGATTTGCCTAGTCGCAAAATAAAAAGTTAGTTTTATCGAGAAAGGCATCGCCTCAAACACGTTACTCATGCTTACCAGTATAAAAACCGCCAACCCATTTGTATTAAAAGCTTCTATAATGTGAGGTACATATATACCCTCTTTTACCCAATATCTGTCAAAAAACATTAATTCTACAGATTGAAACAACCACAAGAACCCAGTATTGTAGACAGCAACCCAGAATACATAACTAATATTGGCCATTTGTCTGGACACTTGAATACCGTACACGAGAACCACCATGAAACCGACGCACCATAATATCGCACATGAAAACAGAATCATGGCAAGCTTTCTTTGTTTGGGTCTTAAGCTTGGTTTGCGGTTCTGACGGAAAGCATAGTAGGGATCGGCTGGAAGGATATAATGACCCGTATCAAACGCAAAAATAAATATGGCCAGATAACCTTGAAATAATAGTTAATAGGATTTGGCATAAGTAATAGGTCCAAGTTCAACATAAGAGACGCAAGATTATCAATCGATCCCTATTACACTTACCAAAGAAGCTGAAAATTCCCTCCTTGTTGGCGCTGATTAAATCTGTTCGTGGCGCATTCTGAATATATTCCTCGAGTCCAAGTTTCGATAACGCTAATTGATAAACTATATAATGCATCGACAGATGAGAACATGACAAAAAACCAACGGGGTGATGGTAACACTCTATATACAGTTTTCCTTACCTCCGATTATAACCAGCCCGACCACTGCAAATCTCGCGTACCTTTCTACTGCTCGACATAGGGTAATAAATATTGGCAAAAACGCAAGAGTAAAGAAAAAGTTCCAATGCACCCCATATTCAGAGACGTGTTCTTGATAATCGACTCCTTTGACGGCGATCAATCGAGCAAATCCCAGGACAAAAAGTGGAAACGCATGTTTGCATGCGTTTACGAGCTGACCTCCGAGAGGCTTGAATCGGTTTTCAGGACGTTTTAGAAAAGGTTTTGCCGCGACTATTCCAGCCGAGAATACGAACGAGCCAACACCAAGATCCATCTATTAGAACAACAGTCATAATCGATCGAACGAACGATCGATCGTAAATTGTTATCTTTGTTCCATTTGGGGAGAACTAGCAACCAACGTAACACTAGGCAACGCAGCACAGAGAAAAAAAGACGGAATAAAAAAAGATCAGATCAGATCAAATTAAAGTACCCAGATCATACCAGAGACGTCCCAAACGTTTCGACTTTTGCAAATCGCCTGGGGAATACAGTAAAATCGACAGCCAATATCGCAATACAAGTGAGAATCATAATACCAGCCCTATAGACGCTCAGGAACGGTTTTCTCGTTCCATGTACCAAGTGATCCTTATTATTACTAGACTTTGCGGCCTTCTCACCCTCGACAACCAAAAGTTCATCCAACTCGTCATTGTCAGAATCCTTTTGCCATTTGCTTTTCTTTTTAGTTTCCTGGTTTTCTGCTGGCGGGCACGCACGGACTATCCATACCGCCGCCGAGATCAAGGCCACATTGATGTAAAATGCATATGACGACAATAGAGTACATGCCAACAAACTCGGAAACACTAAAACTAGAAATTCAAATAAAAGTGTTTGTAGAGTCGAGGAATATACTCGTGTAGAAATCTGTGTGTATTTGATCAAGGCTGACCAGAGAACGTATGAACACTTGGGGAAAAGACAACCCGATTTTAAACGTGGTGAGTTTTGAAATACCTGAAAATGATAATGGTCATGAACACGAGTTTTGCTGATACATACCAACATGACCCCAGTAACCATATTTATCTCCCACATCGTCCCTCCAGTGTGTCCGGTTACCCATAATACTTTCTCTTCTTTGTAAGTTGCACTTTTGTAATCCATCGAATATGGTAAGAAGTTTTTCTAAATGCAAGGTTTGGGAATTTACAGTATTTAATATCTGCTGATATGTAACACGAAGTACTATGGGAAAAATTCATTCCTAGTTAGATTGAAAGTTTTTTATAACCAATTTATATTTTAATTATTATACTAATTTAAAGAAAATAAACTCAATTAGATGCGCGTATATACAAGACAACGCTTCTATAATATTATTTGTAAATTTTCTGCCAACATGTCAATATATCTTCTTTATTTTAATCTCACAATAATTAATTATGCCTGCATATGGAGTTTTTGCCCTAGTACCGCAGAAAATTATACATAACGCAACCCTTCTTTGGTTGTTTTTTAAATAATGTAACTTTCACAACGCATTTTATAGGCGAGAAAAACAAACAGCTTCTTTTATTACTCCTTACGCGACATACAAACAGAATGCATGTTATACTATTTTCCATGTCCCATCATAGCGTTATAATCATCAATCTTTATTCGTAACGTTGCGTGACAGATGTCAGGAGCATATGTCTGTGTTATTCCGACAATTTGGAGTGGTGGCGTCGTTGAAGCCCGCGTCAAATGCGAGTGCTGGCATTTCGAGAGAGTCTTTGTTTTTTAGATATTTAAACTATCATATATGAAGAGTTAAAAGTATGAATTTAAAGTCGAGTTATAGTGAGTATTCCAAATTTCAATGGCGATCCTTCTGATAAATTGGAATGAATTCTCCAATACTTTACAAACCCAGTATGAGCTTTATTATGTTAAGCCTTTTTGCCTGTGAAATCATTCAGATACAATTCTCGGCGCTCGTGGGATGCGCTGACCAAAAATCATGGGCCGGGCAGTGCCGTAATTTTTGCCCTCCACAAAAAGGCGGTGCTGATTCGGTACTCGAGTTGGATTGACTCTATTCAAAGAACGACGAAATATTTTTGAATGTCTATGTAAACGGTGAAATACGAAATGAGTCACGCTTAGAGACGAATTTGCAATCTCCGATAGATATTAGTATGTTTTTCTTAATCCTGGCAGTGCGAATTCTTCAGTCACCTTTTTCATTTGATATACAGTGTGTAACAGATCTTTGACACGTCTGCTGATGATATTGGCTAGACTAATTTGATTGATGTGAAAATGAGATTTGAGGCTTGGTATATCTACTATTATCTGTAAGTAAAAAAACACATTAGTCCAAAAAGCCACTAGTCTTTGGGCATGGTATTAGCAGTGCTTACAGCATCTATGATTATGACAACAGATGTTGCAATAACTGTCTTGAAAGTGACAGTTTCTTATTCGAGACATTTTCTGAGCAAAATATTTGATCGCTGATAGAATTGTGTATCAGCCTCAAGTTATACTCGCATCGTCAATGAATTGAACACAATATCCTTCGAACAAAGAATTTCCTCCACCGTCAGCACAGGAGACGGAATTGGAAAGGTTAGTATTACATCAAAACGTAATAGGAATTCATAACATTATGGATAGGTCTTTCTATGTCAAACACATCATACTCAATTGCCAACAAATGATATATATCTGTATGTCCATTGTCATTGTAATGCTATTCCCATATATTATGAAGTTAACGGTAGGATGAATTTATTCATGCAAGTTGCCGATCAATTCTCAATATCCAATCTCCGAACCATTCGTATCGAGTTTTTTCTGTGTTCTGATTTTTTAACTTTCGAACATGCCAAAGCTAAAAATTAGTCCGGAAGAAGTACCATTTCGTGCCGTGTTCTTTCTAGAGGCGATTCAATGGGCCGTCGGCGCGTTTGTTTATAATGAAGAATATGAAATAGAATATTCGACCATTGTGCTAGTTCCATTCGTACTGGGATGTGCCGTGATGTCGTTGATTGATTCAGTGAGTTTCGCAGTTTTTGCCCGTCATTGTAATTTCGTTGGGATGCCATCTTTTTTAAATTAAAACAAGATTTTCTTTTTTGGTTAGACTCTAAATGGAACGCTGTATCATGGTGTGCTCTTCTTCAGCGCCAACTTTTCCGTGGCAATGCTAATTACAGTCATTTGGCAGATTCTCGGCATTTATCACGGCTTCACGGAGATATTAATTCCAATGGTCACTGTCACCTCTGTTGCCGAGGTCATTATAATACTGACTATCGCGGATTCATGGAGGAAAGGGTAAAAAAAATCGTATTAACCATCACATATCGATTTGTTACACACATCGATCGTTACATCTTTTTTTACATTCTGTCGAAAAGTGAATGGAAATTACACGATAAATCACCAAAAGTGAAATCTCATCCAAGTGAGTGACTGGTCATTTTTTTTAGAAACGTCTCGTTTGAAACTCAACTTGATTGACTTTTTTTTTTTATCAAGAGATGGACGAATTCTTTGATCATTTGACGAGCATGTTTTATAGCATTGTCAACTTGTATGGTCCGTTGACAGCGACCAATGTTATTATAAGCATAGCAAGAGGAGATTGGTTAACTTTCGTGTTTGATCTTGGTACATTTACGCTATCAACAATAACGATGAGACTGATGACTATTGGGGTTTGTACCTACAGTATTTCGTATGAGCTCTCATTTGTATCTTCATACGGTAACAACTATCCATCGCCCTCATTAGGTCCGCCTTCAATCGAACATACTTATGAATTTATCCTATGCGTTAAGTTTGATTTTGATGGTATCACTACCGTTTCGCGTTCTTGGAGATACGATTAGTCCGGATAAATTGTGTAAGTTGGCAAACTCGAAAGCTTGCGTGATGATTATTATTATCGAAACACTGATTCTATTATCCTATTTGCATAGTTTCTGTAATTATTCTTGGAATGACGGTATATTCTGGTTTTGTTGGACGGCAGTGCCAGACGTTGTTTGACAAGAATCTAAAGATAAATTAGCAAATTTGTATATAACTAACGTACGTAAGAGGTAAGCCCAACTCTTAAACGTGCCTCTAACAAGTTATGCAATCTCAATGTTGTTTTAAAAGATTGTTTAGGAGACACGGGTTTTGTAAATAGTTTAAATTGGGTCGCTGAAAAGCCTTGCTACTCGGTCTAGATTGATATGAAATGCTCATATTCAAAATGAGGCTATTTTCTGAAATATTATAAATTATGGGTCTTTCTATGGATTACTTTTGCGACGCGAAAATTGGCACGCGTTTGATGGTCGTGAGTTTAAATGGAGGTAGCAGTGTGTTGGCGGTTTTAAAAAAGAGAAATTAAACGGTTCGATATGTTTCGCCTAATATTCAGAGTCAATTATGTTCACTAACCAGTTTAGTTATGATGACGTAATTAGACGTTGATGTATTCTCCACAAGTTGTCGTATTTTCTACGGCATGCGTCACACTATCACCACTTAGTAAGCGCGGTCACTGTATTAATTTTATTATGAGGATGGGATTACTCCCGATATGGAAGTTCAGAAATTCAAGAGTGCTTAGAAGCAGAAGGTGATACAAAGGCCTATCTATTGATGACGATAACAAATGCATTACGGTACAGTGTCTGAGACTTATGTACCGTGCGCAGATTGTAGTATGCACAATTGAATTGGCCTTCATTTTTCGCGCAAGATGGAGAAAATATATTAGCATGACTTTACCAAATTGTCATTCGTGACTGTCACATAAATGCATTATTTCTATGGGGGTAAACCTTTCATTGAACAAACTTCTGTAGACCTGGCCTTACAGTATCAATATCTAATCGATTATAGTATTGGCATCGATTTCGGGGTAATTTTCGAAAAAGCTCTAGAATTCAAAAGCATACAACGTTAACTATCATTCATCAAACATCGTAACAAAAACTTCGACTTACTTCAAACAAGCGAATAGCATGAGCAACGTCATCAGTACCGGCCGTCTCTCGAATAGAGTGCATGCTCAATTGCGGATTCCCAACATCTTGACATACATTGAAAAATTAACACAAAGCAACGCCTCGGAACAAGAAATTATATCATACGTACCGATAGTACGCAAACCAAGATTTGAACTGAGTACCGGTCCAATAGTTGATCCGCACCGACTATCAGCCCTGACCACGTATTCCTGTAGAGGAACATTACTTTTCTTGGCCGCCTGACGTAAAATTACTATTGTCGCTGCAGTAGTTGCGTATCTCTACAAATCAAAAGAGTGTCTAGTGTTCGATTTTGTGATACAGTTTTGGGGAGAGGGTAAAGACTGAATAGTCGAGAGCTACCTGATTAGCATTTATCTTCATTACAACACCTCCATGCATACTTGGTTTATGGTTTTCTTCGTGTTTCTCACTATAAAGTAACTCGCACTGAGTCATTATCAATAAATTATAGCGTTCTCATTCTAAACAAAAGAGACATACGAGTAGTTGGGATGAACCGCTGGTGGAAATAACATTTCGTTAACGTAACGCAAACACTCACGTTGAATGATGTGAACTCCCCCACCCCACCTCCATCATACGAATTATACTGACTACATACCGTGAGCCATATCAGCACTGATCAGGAAACTTTTGTGAATTGTTTCTTCGAATGCAGTCTATTGGGAAATCAATCCGAATACAATCGTTACCATCATCATCATCATTTTTTATCTTAACAACGTTTGACTAGTAGGTACCTTGGAAACATCCTTTTCCCCACCCACGTTGGTGAGAACCAGTCTCCTGATTGTATACTCTAGTAGGCTAGAAGCAGCTCCATGTGCACTAACGCTTCCCACTTCTTCATTGTCAAATAATACAACAAGTCTGATATTTGGGTCTTTTTCAAGTGAAGTAGGGGAATAATGCGTTGTATTTATAAGTGACTGGAAAAAGAAATCGAGACGGCATTAGCAGGTCCGTCTATTGTTGTAACAATAACAGAACGGGTGAACTTACTGTCAATGCCGTATAAGACATCATGAGATTGTCCAGTCGGGCTGAGAATACAAATTCATTATTGACACCACCAATTGTTGCTGGTTGGGTATCATAGAGACAAAGTTCAAAGTCCATAATCTTGGATGCTGAGAAAAAAATTTGCGCAGGTAAATAGGTTATCAGGGCAAAAAAATTGTATTCGGTATCAGGATTATCTTCTCTTTTTTTTTTTACCTTCTACATTTAATTCTTGAGCAATAGCGCGAAGCAATTCTGGATGATGCTTTCCTAACTGATTGGTATCGTCTGCGCCAAGTCTAAACGATTTGTATATGAGATTTACAACAAGTATTACAGGCGAGCGGGGATTTAGTTATGGATGCCCATACCTCTTTTGGGCAGTAGCAAGTAATGGAGTCAAGTGTGTTTCCTTGTTAAAGCTGAATCCATTTGCTACGTCAGAATCAAGATGAATGGCAAGAGTTGGGACTCTTAGAATCGGCCTTGATAAAGATTTGTTGTCATATGAATAAACAGATAATCAGAAAAAAAGGAAACTAAATAGTCACATTTTTTATGATTACCTTGAAATTCTAACGAGTTTATTCTGGTATGTTCCATCATTATCGAGCATGACTCTCCCAGCAATACCCAGATCGCGATCGAACCATGTATGCCTACACAAGTTTATCTCACCATGAGTACCCTCGATGCAAGCTTTCTCTGCACAACAAAAACTTACCATAGACCACCTCCATATGTTTCAACCCCAACTTGTAAATAACCAGAACGTCCTTTCTTGGAGATGGGTTTGACCTGGATCACAAGACAAAAAAAAAATCGCATGTATATAAATAAATTGTACCACAGGCTCACCTCAAACCTGCATTAATCTGTCGAAACAATCCCATTCTCACCTTTAAACACGGAGAATCGGTATGAGCGCCAATAATGGATATGCCGTTTCCTGGTTCGTATTTACCACCAACCGCGAAAGCAACTATTGTGCTCGTGTTTCTGGTAAAAAAGTACTTGCCATTTTTTACGATTTGGCCCGACCAATTATCCCTCTCTTTTAATTCCTTGAATCCAGCATCCGTCAACCTTTTTTTAGACTCTTCGACGGCATGAAACGGCGATGGAGATGCATTGACAAAGTCAATGAAATCGAGCGCTTCTTTGACGGAAGGAGATGTGGTGGAATTTAAAGTGCTCTCAGACTGTGACGAGAAATACGAGTTACTATGTGCGATGTAAGCAGATGCTATGCTATGAGATGATATGACATTCGTATATCTCGAGAACGAGAATATTGTTCCATTTGAGGTTAAATCCGTGTGCAAACAATTTATGGTTTGTTTCCAGATCAAAGCCCTGAACAACCGATGTGCACTATTTCTCATTTGTATGCGTCATGTAAAAAAAAGAGAGAGAGAGAGATCGGATGGCCTTACCATTTTCTTTTAAATAGATGTCGAACTCTGGTCTGTAGTTCGTATGTGAGTTTAAATATAAACCAAAAAAGGAAATTTTAGATCTGTGTTACGGAATACATCAGTGGGGTACATCTATCTCACGTGATATATGCAGTAGCCCAACGACATGCGAGTATACTAATACGCAATATAGTCGACTTTTGATTGTTTCGAAAAGTGCTTTAACACCATACAAACCTATTTTATATATAGTGATGTACATACTAATACAGTGTGTTGCGAAAAAAGTGGCGCAAAAATTAGTTTTTGAATACAAAAAACGCGTTTATTTACATGGTTTCTATATTTATATAAGTTTGTTTTTTTGTCATTAATTACATTTACAAAAGTAAAACTCCCTCTTCCTTGATTAGTTTTTTACTTAAACCTTGTAACATGGTCAACACAAAGCTCGAAGCACAGCATCAAACTATTGGTCAAATGGAATTCGTTCTGCCAAAGAAATGCGCCAACATACAAAGATCGTTAAAATTTGGAAAAAAGAATGCTTAATATTAAAGACATTTGCGAGTTAAAGCAATTTATAGTAGAAGAGTAGGATAAAATGTTGTACAAAATTTAATCAGATATATGATTATGAAAAGCCGGATAGAATTTCGTATTCAAATTTATACTTAATAAGATAGTTTATAAGCTTAAATTAGTCTACTTTTATTTGTCTTTGTTAAGTAATTGTTGAGATATACAAGTTTATTGTGCGCTCAATTTTTTCACAAGACACTGTAGCTCTAAGCCTCAAGTCCAATTTATAATAAAAAACTTATTTGCAATATTTGTTCCTTTTTTTTTTGACTGAATAACATTTATCACATAAGTTCGAATAACTGATATGGCTGAGACAACACTATGTCATTTGAAAAAACTGTGTCATCTGTAATTAGTCACGGCGATGGAAAAATACGTGTTACAAACGTTTAATAAAACTGACATAAACGTTTAATATTATGCAGACAAGTGCACGTCATCAGTACAAATCTTGCATTGTGCGTTGAGAGAAATGGTTATCTGTGTCGCTCAAATCATATTACATTACCTGACAATATATTAATATCAATTTTTTATTGTTTAATGAAGTAAATATTGATTGATGCTTCGTTTTATTTTGTTGTCTGGGATTGTGGAAGCAAATTCTTTCGTGTAGGCGTGTCCTTTTCTGATCGGGAATGTTACTAACTTTAGCTTCATATTGCCATTTTTATTTCGGCGATTGTCAATTAAGGCTGAATCTAAGCTCGCAGTGACCTGGTTTATTTAATAGTCACAGTATGCGCTTATCTACTCGCTATACGAGAATCACCACTCGCATCCAAATAGGGTAGATACGACATAATATATGGGGCATGCTGCAACAAAACCAGACAAAGTGAACATTCTATTATTATTATGTGACATAAATGAGAGGCTGATTATGATGTGGCTGTAAAATTGACCAGGGTGACTGATGACATTTGAAAAGTAATAATAGTGCTCATGGACTTGTTGATTTTAATGCTCACTTTATCATACCAGAAGGTGATGAATATAAACCATAACAGGAGCAATATAGGATTACCTCTATATATAAAAATATTAATATTAATTGATGAACCATGTGATGATTTAACTTCTGAAACAACTGCTGACAGTTCCATGAAGACAACTCGATTATCAAGTACAGGTAAAAATTTTAGATATAATTTTGGAGGCAGGAATGAGTACATGCATGGTTGGTAAGTCCAGGGGAAAGATGTTTACTTAATTCATTAACCATGTATTTTGTCTCTTTATACTACATATTCAAGGAATTCAAGATCCATACTTGAGTAATCTTGCTGAAGGGTCTCACAAACTCCGAATTCGAGGAAATGATAGTTGGGTTAGGGGCACGCCGCGTGCGGGAACTTTTTCAAGAAGCACGCAGTTATCCGCTTCACCCATCTTTTGTCTCATTTATCCTTGTACTTGTACAAGTAAAGAATTATCAAGATTCATATGACTCATATACAAAAATTGCTCGAGAAAGAATCCAGCCACAAGTGTGTAAGCTTCTTGATGAACCTGCTGACTTTCCATTTGTGTCATTATACATGTAATTAGGTGGTAAAATGACACATGTACAAGAGCTTCCTGAAATTCAGCAACAATTTGTGAAGTCTGAAGATGGGAATCAGAAATTGAAGTTTGATCAACACATATTAGATTCTATCAAAAAGTATCAAATAGGCCTGGCAACTTTTGGAGTAAATGAGGAAGTATTTCCATGTCTTGCTTCCCCTCATGTAACAACCAATAATGCAGAACTTAAAAATCTTGTTGAATTAATACAAGAACTCCTTGTGTCATGTATCATGGCCTGACCCTGCTGCTATGCATGGAAACATAAATTCTGATGCAAATCAGGCTGTTCGTGCCTCATGGATTGGAGCTTATAATAATTAGTTGTGGGATGATGCATCAGCATGGGGCAGAATGATGTAGAAGTTGTTTAAGTATAGTAAAGTGGTAATATCAATGTAATAATAAACATTATTACAAACATGTGCAACTGGTGTAAATCCTTTCATTTTTCATTCAATATTTTAATTAAGTACTTCAATGGTCTGAGGTATTTGACTATTACATCTGGCTAAAAGACTTCAGCATGTAGCCAACTCAGTGTTTACAAAAAGTGTACGGCCTGCATACATCTCTCAATCTAAGGTCAGCAGACATAGAAAAAAACGATAAGTATTAAAATTTATATATAGGATTACCCATATATGACGGATAATTATAACGATTCAATCGAATATGAAAAGCTATGCGCTTCTTGGAGATAGGTTGCAATTGTGGTTGCTCAAAAAGATTTCGAGAGAGAAATTTGCCGAATTACGTGAGGCATTTCAAGCTCTCTCTAGATTTGAACAAGATATATTTTTAATGGCCCAGTTGAAAACAATGAATGGCGGAGAAATAACTGCCAGTCGACGTCTTAAAAAGAAAACGCGTGCTAATAAGCGAACGTTTTATTATTGAGATCGTAATACTCCACTTTGTCAGAAAACGTATCTCAATATGTTAGGAATTGGCCGCGCTCACTTCGAAAACGTTAGAAATCACTTGGCGACGAATGGTATAATACCACGCGTTCATGGTAACATAAAACGAATGCCACGATGGAAACCAAAATAACCATTGATATAAACGTTGCTACTACCGTGAAGAATTTTCTCGAAAACTATGCTGAAATTCATGGATTACCAAGTCCGGGTAGAAATGTTAATCGCATTAC